GGAGCCTCCACCCACCTGCCCTCCAGTGAGTAAGGAGCAGAGACAGTAGTCCAGGCTGGGGCCACTTGCTCACCCAAGGGGACCCAGCTAGAAGCAGAAACACAGTTCATGGGGGTTAGTGACATCCCTGGAGGACTGACCCTGGGTGTCTGACCCAGGGAAGGCATCCCTAGCTACCAAAGATCCCTAAGGCACCTGGAGGAGGACCTGGACTGAAGGCCACAGGGCATCCATGGGGACATGGACAACATCTCACAAAGAGAACTGGGTGAAGGCACCCAGGCTAGCTTGCCACCAGCCACAGGCCCAGTTCTCCTGGAGAACTAGCACACTGGTTGAGGGAAGGGGTGGACAAAGTGGAAAGGGGAGGAGGAGAAAAGGCCCCAAAGGGCCCTGGGGCTGTGGCCAGGGTCCAGAGGGGCAAAATCACAAGAAAGGCAAGGATAAGGCACCCACCCCTCTAGACCTCCTCCCCTCTCTCTCCTCCCTCGTCCCCAGATGCTCTGCTGTCCCTGCCTCCCCTCTCTCCATCCCTAAGTGCTCCCTGTCCTCTCTCCCAGGCCTGGCCTCCTCTCCCAGGACAAACTTGCTGTATCCACTCTACCCTCCTCAGAGCAGGACTTGACAAGGCTGGACCAGGGCCCAGCCCAGGAGCAGGGGAGGGAGGGTGGTCTCTTGTCAGGCCAGAGCTGCCTGCACGGAGCCTGCTGCAGCTGAGAAATCTTCCTGACTGAGCCTGACACTTTATTTCTGCTGAGAATTAAGAAAGCACAAGGCAGTATTTTATCTCACCATCGAGCTCGGCGCCTCTCTGACAGGCCCCGCAAAGGCCGTCTGGATGCTGACCACCCTCAGATTATAATAGGACATGAAAAATGACCTCAGGAGCCACAGCTGCACGGGAGCTAGTTCAGGTCTGCTCCACCAGTGTGTTTGGAGCACCCCATGGGTGCCTAGCTGTGGCTAAGGGCAGGTGGGAGGCCGGCTGAGGCCCCAGATCCCTGCTGTCAGGAATTGGGGGCTGCAGTGCAACGGGACAGAAGCAAAGTGGCCTGCGTGTGAGCAAGTCCACCACCAAGGGGTCTGGGCACTGTCCAGGGTTGGCATGGTCAGGAAGCACAGGGCAGAGCATGGCAAGCATACACGTACCAAGGACAGGGGACAGTGGGTTGGCTGCCTACAGGTGCTGTGCCCCTAGCATGGAAGGCTCTATTCACAGGGAGACTCCATTGGCCACATTTGATTTACTAGGGCAAAAGGGATCTGCCACGTCAGAAATAGCTCTATACTAGCCCTGCCAACTGCAGGACTCACCCCAACTGCTCTCAGGCCCCAATAGAGAGGCCCAGCATGGAACCCAGAAATGAGATGCCAGAAAGGAGTCTTCTCTCATGGTCCCCGCCTTCCCCCTTAAAGATGAGTTGTCAACCCCAGCATGCTCTAACCCCAGGAGTGGAGCCTCCTGGAGCAGGACCTCCCTCCCATGTCCTCCACACACTTTCCTGCTGTTTGGATAGAGCCCTCTGTCCACACCCCTCTGCTGCTGCTTCTCACAGCCTCCTCCCATATCTGATGGGGAAGGCTAAACCTCTCATCTGGCCCCTGTACCCCTCCCCTCCTCCTCACCCTCTGCTTTGAACTCTTCTGGGACCAGTCTCGCTCTCCCTCTGCCTGGTTTCAGCTCCTCCTGAATGCATAGGTGGGTATCAGGAGTTCTGGGTTCATCTTGATAACACCATTTACCATCTGGGTGACCACAAGCTAGTTTCTTAACCGCTCTGAAACTCCATTTCCTTGACTGAAGTTAATTTATTCATATACATCCTAAGAAAAGTTATGATAATCTAGCAATATAATGTACATAGCAGCTGCTATTGTTCTCAAGTGTTGTGTATCCTTTGGGAGACCTGGACATCCTGAACCCCCCTCCCTTGGCAAGCCAATGCCCAGCCTTGGTGGGACATCCTGAACCCCCTCCCTTGGCAAGCCAATGCCCAGCCTTGGGTGTCCCTTTGCTGCCCTGTACCTTCTCTATGGAAAAGGGGTAGGTGCCCTTCCCACTGGAGTACCAGGTGGGATTCATGGCTGAGGGGACTTACTTGCTGGCCAGGGTAGCCATAGAAAATACCACAAACTGGGTGGCTTAAAAGACCAAAATGTATTTCTCACCATTCTGGAGGCTAGAAGTCTAAGATCGAGGTGTGGGCGGGGTTGGTTTCTGGTGAGGGCTCTCTTCCGGTTTGGAGATACATTGCCCTTTCTCTGTGTGCACATCTCGGGTGACCTTTCCTGCTCTTAGGAGGACACCAGTCATGACCTTAGAACTTCATTTCACTTTAAGTACTTCCTTAAAGGCCCTCTTTACAAGTTTATGAGTTCAGGACAATTAAGTTCGCAAACTCATCCTAGAAAAAGTGCTACATAGCTCACTGCTGAGCATGGCTACTGTCTCCTTAACAGCACTCCCCTGGGGAGCGAGGCATCAATGCCAATGCCTAGTCCACCTTTCAAGGCAATTTTGGAACTCTTTCTCTGGAATGTCATCATGCGATTTCTGACAACTAAGTTTACAAACTCATCCTAGTAAAAGTGCTTTGGGGAGTGGACTAGGTTCTAGTGTCAGTGCCTAATTTCCCCAAGGGAGTCCTTTGAAGGTGACCCTGGCAATATTCAGCAATGAGATATATAGTACCTTTTCTAGGGTGAGTTCTGACCTTAACTGTCCGACTTCATAGTCACATGAGGTTTTAGGGCTTCCCCATATGGTTTTGGGGAGCACACACTTTAATCCATTACCAGGGCCCTGGGGACTTGCCTCAAAGAATGAACAGAATGTCAAGAGGAGGATCTAGGAGGAGGGTGAGCAGGGAAGCTTGCAGGCCAGGACTTGGGCCTGGCAGAAGACAGTGCTAGGAGTTGGAGTGGGAGTGGTGCAAGGTCTGGGGCTACACATGGGGAGTAGGGCAGAAGAGGGTGAACTCCCTGTGACGGCCTGAAGGACTTGGCCCCAAACTTTCTTACCAGATGGCCATCATCTCCACTTCCTTCTTCTTGGGTCCCCTCCCCTGGAACAGCTGGGGTCATAGAAGATGAAGCGTGGAGCGGCCACTGGCCTTTGCAGTGGTAGCACCATGGCTGCCCACCCACTAATGCTATTTCTACTGTTCCTCCAAGTTCAGGTTTTCTCATAAAAAAAGAAGGAGAAATAATAATCCTTACCTCAGAGAATTATGAAATTACATAAGCAAGAAAGCTGTAGAAATCTGTCCAAGAGAATACCAACCTCAGGCCTTCCAGGGGCAGGAGAATATTGAGACTTTGGGGGATCCCTAGAAGGATGGCATGTTTCAGGAGGAAAGGGCAGCCTAGAAAAGGGTGGGAGGCTGAGTCCCAAAGCACTGGGGCTCCTGGATCTTTCTGCCGTAGCCCGTGTCTCCTGGCAAGCCAGAACCGTCACCGTGTGCCTCCTCCTCCTGCGACTAGAGTTTGCCAGAACTCACACACAAAGGCCTTTCTTTCCCCGCATCCATCACGGTGTCAAGTGGGGGCCTGAGGGTGAACGATGGCGCTCTGCCCCTCGGCGCACCGGCCTAGAGTCCTGTCCTGCTGCCCAGCTGTTTGGCCTCCTTCCCGTCTGCCGCGTCCTGCCTCCTGTCTCTGTCCTTCCTTGCCCTGCCCTTCCCCTGGCCTTGTCTTCGTCCTGCTGAGTCACGGGCACCCACACTCCCCCACCCAGTTGTCTTGACGCAGCCAAGCTCACTTCGAATCCTAGACCGGAAGGCAGGAGGAAGCGTGTGACTGGCTGGCCGCCCCGGTACCGGAGGGAGTTGGCAAGGAAAAGTCTCCAGGCTCAGGGCAGAAGCCCAGAAACAGCTCAGGCAGACCTGGGTCCCCAGCCTCGCCCCGCCACGGGTGGCTGTGGGAAGCGCGTGGGCTTCTCCCTGCCTCAGCCTCTCCGTCTCTACAATGGGGGTGTTTGTCGCGCCCACCTGCCTTTTAGGGCCTAAGTTCACTAGAGAAACGCAAACCTAGTAAGGGACCAGGGAGGCGCGTGTCAGGCAGAAGAACTGGCAAGGACATACAGCCTATTTCCATTTGCGTGACCCCTATCCGTTTCATTGTTTAAAATACCGTGGGCCCTCCGGGCTGTAACCCGCCCTGGCACCTCAGAACTAGGGCTAGAGCCCGCTGCGGAGCCCGAAGCTCGGAGTCCAGAGACCCCTAGTGGCCTAAATGGGCCATTGACACGGATCCCCAAGAGAGGCCGCAGGTGTAGTCAGACAGTCCCTGCCATCCAGTCCTCCTGGCTCCCAGACACCGCGCGAGTAGCCGTTTCCACTCCGCACACACCCTGAGGGGACAGCCCTGGCTGCAATGAGGAGCCCCAGCCCTGAGCTCTGCTCCAACTGAGCAGCTAGATGCCCCGAGCCTTAACCACCCCTGACCCACAGGCTATGTCTGCAAGTCGGCATGGGGTGGGGTGAGGCTCAAGGCCGCGTCCTGGCCTGCAGGGGTCCGACTGCAGTCATAAACCAGCCAGATGTCTTGAGTGCACCAGGACTGAGTCAAAGATCTGCTTTGGGGACATTGGGACTGTTGGGCCATAGAAGGGCTGGTCAGGTATTTCTGTTAAGCTTGGATGCTGGGTGGCTCCTGTGGCTCAGAAGGGTAGGGCGCTGGTCTCATATGCCAGAGGTGGTGGGTTCAAACCCAGCCCGGGCCAAAAATGGCAAAAATAAATAAATAAAGCTTATCTTTAAAAAAAAAAAAAAAAGTTTGGATGCTGATATTACAGGGTAGCAAGGATTGCTCAAAGTGGGCCGAGGAGGTCACTCAGAGTGTCCAGTCCAGAGACATTCCCTGAGAGGACGACCCAGGCTGTGTGATGGAGGGGCAGGCGTGGGGTATGGGTGGTGGCATGCCGAGTGGGCGTGGCCTGGGCGCACCGCGCCCCTGAACTCAGGATCTGCTCTAACACTGTCCCCTCTGCTCTGTTGCAGATGAACCGGCCCATCCAGGTGAAGCCTGCGGACAGCGAGAGCCGAGGAGGTAGTAGCTGCCTGCGCCAGCCCCCTTCACGTGAGGGCCCACTTGTCTCTGCCCCTCTCCCCTTCCCTCCTGTTCCCCACGCAGCGATGCAGCGACTCCCTGCCTCCTCCTCCTCCTGCCCCACCGTGGGCCTTGTGACTGGGGTTGGGAACAGGGCTTTGGACTACTGTGTGCAGAGAGTGGAGGAAGGGAGTGGCTGAGGTTTGCCAGATGGTGGGGTTTGTGCCTCTCTGAGCAAACCAGTAGCACATCCTAGGCATTCTGCCCTCATTAGGACACCCAAAAAGGTGTGCCCATCTCTGTGTTGCCAAGCAAAACCCCATATACCCTGGCTTGAACCATTGAAAGGGAGGTAGGAAATGGTTGCAGCCGAGCATTAGAACTCAGGCCATGGGCGGCAAATCTGAAGGGCTACACATGGGGGCATGGGAGCACTGAGCGGAAGGTCCTGGAGATAAATACAAGCAGGCAGAGAGATATCAGGAAGGCGACAGAAGAAGACACAGCCTCACCCCCAAATGCTCACCACAGAACCTGACAGCCATCAGAGCCTGGCATGGGATTGCTGAGCCCCACTGGGGGGAGCTGGGTTGAGGTACTGCCTCACCTTGAAGCCCAGCATGGAAGGGCGAGGTAGGTGGCCACCAGGGGCAGCTTTGTCCCCAGGTGACAGTCACCCTCCCAGTGCAATGCCTTGGTGGCTATACTGCCCACCACTACCTCAGCCCCAGGAATAACCTCAGCCCACCCTGGGCATAACTTGTCCTAGGCTTCTCCAGCTCAGATCAAAACATGCTGCAATGTTAAAAGAAATAAAGGGAGAAGAGATGGCAAAGAAAGTACCTCCAGTGCCAACCGTCAGGCTTCCACCACCCAGGTACTACCTCTTCCTACAGTGAATCCTCCCTCCAAGGAATATAGTGCCCAGCGGGGGGGGGGAGAAAATTTGCAGGCCCCTGCTGGTTGCCCCCTCCCTTCCTGAGCACCTGTATACCTCTCACTGGTCCTTATCCCTAGCAGGCCCCCACTGGGTCTCTGCCCTGAACCATACATACTCTCTCAGCCACTGCACCGTACACATAGCCAAACTGAGGCATCAATCAGGTCAAGAACCCCAAAAAGAGGCTTGGCCAGGACATGAGCATAGCAGCCACACATTGGAATAGCACCCTTGGAGGACAGAGGCCTCCAGCCTACTCCCACAATGAGAGAGGCCTTGGACTTCCTGCCCTTCCTCCCCACAAACAGGAACTGCTTAGGAGGAGTTAGAAAAAATTCAGAAAGCTACTGAGAGGACTGTAAGGAATTGGGGCCCTTCCTCCCTGAGAGGGCAACATCATTTGGGCCCTTCCTCCCTCCAAAGTGCTGTCTCAGCCTTCCCTCCCTCCACATAGGGCAGGTGGGCCCAGCATTAAGGCCCAGGCAGCAGGACGGGGCAACCAGCCACAGCTGTCCTCTGCCTCCTGACCAGGAGTTGCCCTCCCCCCCAACTCTGGTGCAGGTGCCCATGTCTACCTCCCCTCCCAGCCTCAAGGCCCTATGCCCCGTGGTTCTCCAGCCCTTTAGCTCTGCCAGGCTGAGGGATTTCTCTCTCACCTTCCTTCTCCTCAAAAAATTTACCAGGAAATTAAGGACAAAAAATAAAATAGGCAAAAGCTACTTGCCAATTTGGAAAGCCAATTGTCTTGGGAAGGACCTCAGTGTGACCACAGTTTGTTTGCTTGCCCCTGGGACCTGGGTCCCTCCCAGGGCACTCCCTCAGCCCCTCAGTCAGGCTGCTGTTCCAGATACAAGGCCACTAGGGCTCAGCCCCCTCCTCACCAGGGCTTGGTCCTGAGGACCCCAGTAGTCAAGGTCCAGCTGGTTGAGTTAAAATGGTTCAGGCATGAAGGAGCTGAATGAGCAAAGCCCACCCTGGCTTGTGCTGCTGGCTCCTGCCTCTTCCTTGGCAGTGAGAGGAGTGCTGCCCTTACTCGGCCTCTCCAGAGCTCAGGAGGCCCATACAGAGCAAGGGGCCTCTCCAAGAGACTGTCTCCAGGAGGCAGGTCCAGGAGTCAGCGCCCAAGTCATCCAGGCATGCAGTGCTCACCTGCAGCTAGCTCCCTATCAGGTAGCACACCAGGGGGCTATGGCAGGAGAAAATCCCCCAGACAGGCAGATAGCTCTGAGTAGGTCCCAAAGAGGGGGTCCTGGAGGCGAGGGCAGCCAGAGGGCTCAGAGAAGGTGACACTTGAGAAGGTGGCACTTCGACCTTGAAGGAGGGAGATGCCACATCTGAAGAAGTAGGGGTAGCATGAACAAAGTCCCATCAAGCCAGGCCCTGATGGGGTTAGGAAGGTGCACTAAGTCCAGCCAGCCTTCTGCAGACCAAAGTGGGGTGTCAGGAATCCCCTCTGCCCAGTAAGGCCTCACTGAGCTCTAACTCAAACCTTTTCCCCCCTTTAACTTAGTTGGGAGGGGAGAGCTCTCTGACTTCAAGTTGCTAACCTCATCTCCTTTGTCCTATATATCTCCTGCGGCTGACACTTGCCCCAAACCAGATTAATCAGCTCTTTTATCCTTTCTACAGTAGAAGCAGAGAGCCAGCCCTAAACATCTATCTATTAATTGCATATTCAATATTAAACACTGAGATGGTCCTGAGTCAGCACTAAGCCATTTAAAAAAAAAAAAAAAGAAAGTTAGTTTAAAATAATTTAATAGCCATTAAATACTTCTTCTGGGGGTTGGAGGAGAGATGAGCAAAGAAAAGAAAAGATGGAAGAAATGGGGGAGAGGAGAAGAGACCAGGAGAAAGGGATGAAGAAAGGTGAGGAGGGGTGTGATGGGGAGGAAGGAGAGAAGCAGAGAGGTGAGGAGGAAAGGGGCACAGCCAGAGAAGGAGGGACATGGGAGGAGAGAAGATGGGGCCAGCCCTGGCCCAGCAGGGAGCCCCTTCCCTAGCTCAGGCTAAGTATCCCAGAAGTCCTAAGGACATGGACATGGGTGCCTCTAGGATGCCCAGCTGCCCTGCAAGTGAATTCAACACCCATGAGCAGCTCAGAGAGGTACATTTTCTGTGTAGGATTTGGAAACCTATAGGGGCTGTGGGCCAGGGAGACAGGAGGAAGGCTCTCCCTGCCTAGGGGAGGCTGGGGCCCGCTGCATAGCCTCCTGTGGTCCCAAACTTCTAGAAGCATCTCTGGGTCACCCATGAGGTGGAGAGGGTGTGCAACTGAGTGCCGGCAGGAGGTTGGTGTGTGGGCAGGGCAGCTTCTGCCTTCGCACTCTCCAGTCTCTGATGTGGGTGGATTGTTAGCTCTTGCTGACGGGCCACTGTCCTGTCAGGAGTGGGTCAGCAGTGTGGCTCTTTCCTCTCAGGTGTGAGGTTAACTCCAGCCTAACCACTGGGAGAGTGGGAGTGGAGATACAGGTATATAAGGATATGGCTGGCTAGGTGCTCTGCTGAAGTGCCTCAGAAAGTACAGGCTAGCAATTCTTGTTCTGTTCCAGGGTTCTAGTCCCATCTTTGGCCAGAGTGAGCTCCGGCCCAGGCACGCCTACCCACCTCCAGGCCGCCACCTCCTCACCTGTGCAGGTCAGAGGTATCGTTGTCCAGTGAGGCTGCTATTTACAGAGCACTGACTGAAGGCTGAGGGTTTTACCCAAATATGTGTAATCCATATTCACAACAACCTCACTTACAGGTACAAACCAAGGAACAACTTGTTCCAGGGCACACAGAAACTAGTAAAATTCTAACTCCTGGCTGTCAGCCACCAGAACCCAGGTTATACACATTCTTCTCTCACACACACACACCCAGAGGGACTTTCAGACTCAGAGTAGTGGTTCAGGAACTGTGAGAAGGCACCGGTGGGTATTTGTCAGACCTCTTGTCCATTCTCAAGGTGGCTGAAGGGAAAGAAGGAGAGTCCGAGCCAAAGAAAGCAGGTCCAGACTTACCCAAGAGACATGAAAGACCAGGAAGGAGTGTGTCAGAGAAGAGAGAGCTCCCCATGGCTGAGCAAGCAGGGAGGGCTTCCTGGAAAAGGTGGGAATTAGACAAAGAGGTATGGACTTGACAGAAGGTAGTGAGGGCACAAAATGAAAATGGGGCCTTGAATGCATCAGAAGCTGGAGCCACTGATCTTGATGGGGGGGTCACAGATACAAAGAGGCCATCACAACCGTAATGTCTCCAGGCAGGAAGAGAGAGGTCCCCTACTACCACCACTAGAACTCAGGGCTCCAATTAGGCAGGGAAAGAAAACCAAAAGAGAGACCCCTCTCTCCCAGGGGCTATCCCTCTGCACAGGGGATCCAGTTAACCCCACAGAGCATGCTGGAGCGGGTTGTGTTTAAACACAGATTCACCTCCAAAATAAGCAAACCAATTCACTAACCAGGGGAGGGAGGCAGGCTGGGGACAGAGAAAAAACAGGTAGAGGGCATGCCCCTCCCCACCTGCCCTGACTTGGCAGCTGGCCCCCTCGGAGGTGATGCTGCCTTCCTAGGGTATGTACTGTGATGTCCTCTGCTTCCTGGCCTCCAGGCACACCCTACCCCCCAAGAGCTGAAGGTGCCCACCGTGAGCTGCCCTACAGTCCCAACCTCCTCCCAGGTCTTAGACCAGGTGAGTGGTAAGGCCAGAGGACAGGGAAGTCTCTCACCAAGCTCTTGTAGTCAGATGTGGGGGCTCCTTTCAGGTGGTCAGAGGTGGAGCAGAGGCTCTGATGGCTTAACCCTAGGCGGTTAACCTGCTCAGGATGTGTCTCCAGAGTGGGACCCAGCCAGGCAGGGATACTTAAGGAAGGGATGAATGGTGGAGACTGGGTCAGGTCTAGCAGAGTACAGATGGGTGCCATCTCCCTAGCCATCCTCAGAAACCATCCCACCTCCTCACAGTAACCATCACACTTAGGTTTAGCCAATGTGGACCTCATCCATGCCATGCTGTCACCACCTACTCTCCCACAGCAGGCCACACACTCACACACTGACAAAGGCACTGATGTGGG